ATTGACCCCAGTGTTAACAAACTTCAAGCTCTTATTCTCGTCCCTACTCGTGAGTTGGCTTTACAAACTAGTCAAATTGCAACGGAAGTGTCGAAGTACCTGGGGATTAAAATTATGGTCACCACTGGTGGCACTAATCTTGCTGACGATCTTGCGCGTCTAGATGGCGCCGTGCATTGCTTGATAGCGACTCCCGGTCGCATATTGGATTTTCTTAATCGATCCATACTGAAACTGGATCATTGTAGTACTTTGGTCCTCGACGAAGCCGACAAACTTTTGTCCTCTGGATTTAATGTAATTTCCCGGTAATTCTTAGCGTTGTATAGGAAACTATTCCTGATGTCATCAAAAACCTCCCCGAGGATAGGCAAATTATGCTGTATTCGGCGACGTTCCCTTTATCTGTTCAATCATTTACGAAGGCTCACTTGAAGAATCCATATGAAATCAATCTGATGGAAGAGTTGACGTTAAAAGGTGTAACACAGTTTTATGCTTACGTTCAGGAAAAGCATAAGGTAGATTGTTGTGAATATTTTCATTATTTTATATAGGTTCATTGTTTGAATACGCTTTTTTCTAAGCTTCAAATCAATCAGGCCATCATATTCTGTAATACAGCACAGCGCGTTGAGTTATTGGCAAAGAAGGTGACTGAGTTAGGTTACTCATGCTACTATATACACGCAAGGATGCCTCAACATTATCGTAATCGCGTGTTCCATGATTTTCGCGCTGGTCACTGTCGAAACCTCGTGTGTACTGATCTGTTTACTCGCGGCATTGACATTCCTTCCGTTAACGTCGTGATCAATTTTGACTTTCCAAAATATGCGGAAACATACCTTCACCGTATTGGACGCTCTGGGAGATTTGGGCATCTTGGTGTCGCCATAAATCTTATTACACACGATGACTGCTACCACCTTAAGGTTATAGAAAATCAACTGCGCACGGAAATCAAAGCCATTCCTAGGGATATTGACAAGCGCCTCTATGTATCAGAATACCAAAATGTTTCGAATCTGGACGAAGAAACACGCAGGGCTCTTTCCATGGGTCTGGGGATTCCGGAAGAAACTCATGAACAGGTTTTACCCGGGACAGCTAGTACGATGCCTATTGAAGTTGAAAATAAGGCATAAATGGGTTCCATGTTTCTCCAAAGCGCCGAGCATTTGCCTAACGTTGTTGCATTTACTTTCAGTTTGGAGATTTATTTTTTGACTTACCTTTTTGTAACTTGGAGATACCCCTTTACAGCTTTACGTTTGCATTTACTATACACGCACTTACTCTAGAGACTTTTTGTCTGTTATTTTCTGTTTGTGTTAATAAAATTGTTACGAGAATGCTATTCTTTTTCTGTCAGCAGCGCAATTATACCTCGCTTACTCACGATTGGGCGAGCTTGTAGTCGGTTGCCTTTGTACGCAGCTGAGACGTCTTGGTGGGAAATCGCCAATGGGCAGAAGTTGTTAAGTTCATTTGTAATATATTCACTTGGTGGCTGGTGTTATGTGAGCATGGAGTTGGCTGTGCTGGTCTGGTTGTTGGGGTCGATTATCGAATGGTGCACTGGTTCCTACGCCCACAAGGTCATCAGACATAGCAGTTGTTGAGTGCCCTTTAGTTAGCGTGCCCAAAAGGATCCGTCAAGTTCGATTACTATGGTAAGTGAGATGAAAGCGTTTTGACTTTGTGAAAATGAAAGCATGTTTGGGGTAAGGAACGCTTTGGATCCTCCTTTGGTTTTTGGCATTCTAAGCGCAGCCCCATGGGCTACGCAAATTATCATGTTAGAGGTCTTGGAGAGTTTCATAAGTCTTCAATTACCTCTTAGATGACCGAGACCGGTGTTGAAGCAGAGTTTGCTCTTGAGGAGCCCAGTCTAAGTTATCATCGACTTGGAAATGATTTGCTGGGAAGCTGCGCTGG